TTTTTTCATAGGCTGGTATAARACTTGTCCAGAGCTCATTTCCTGCTGATGGCTAAATGGGATCATGAAAATCTCATGAAAGCCTAATGTTCATTGACCAAATGTGTATGTATGCTGGATATCAATTTCTACACTTTTCTGTATGAAGGCCAGTCAAAAAATTCTATTTTTTTTTTTCAAATACTGTTGGTATCCTGAGTCAAAGCTAGATATATGTGTCAAAACCGACTATTTCTCAAATGTTTTCACCTACAGAAATATTTTTTTCTGGCTCCTTAGAAGTCAGAGTACCTTACAAGCAAAAATCACTGAGTTGACCAAACATTCCTTTTGAAACCGAAAACTCATTATTATATTTTCTTTGGAATATCAATATATTTGTTATACTTCAGACCACAATTATTGCAATCACCTCAGTAAATATCTCAAGAAGTTCACCCTTTTCTCTGGTGCTCATTGTCCCTGTCCCCAGAGCAGCCAGGTCATGTCTGTAGGGAAAGCCCTAGAGCCTGCTTTGGGTCGGTTCCAGTGCTGCTGAGCAAAAAGGAAATTCCTTTATTTATGGCCAGTTTTAGGTCTAACTGATCCAGTTTTAGGTTTAACGGATCCAATTTTTAGGTTTAATAGATCCAGTTGTAGGTTTAATGGATCCAGTTTTGGATTTCACTGATCCGGTTTTAAGTTTAATGGATCCAGTTTGGGATTTAACTGATGCAGTTTTTGGTTTAACGGATCCAGTTTTAGGTTTAACTGATCCAGTATTAGGTTTAATGGCTCCAGTTTTGGATTTAATGGATCCAGTTTTAGGTTTAATGGATCCAGTTTTAGGTTTAATGGATACAGTTTTAGGTCTAACTGATCCAGTTTTAGGTTCAACGGATCCAGTTTCAGGTTTAATGGATCCAGGTTTAGGTCTAACTGATCTAGTTTTAGGTTTAATGGATCCAGTTTTGATTTAACTGATCCAGTTTTAGGTTTAACGGATCCAGTTTTGGATTTAACTGATGCAGTTTTAGGTTTAACGGATCCAGTTTTAGGTTCAATGGATCCAGTTTTAGGTTTAATGGATCCAATTTTGGATATAACAGATCCAGTTTTCGGTTTAACGGATCCGATTTTGGGTTTCAGTGACCCCACAGCTGCTCCCAGCCCTCCAGCACAGCAGCCAGGGCTGGCTCTCAGCTGTGCTGGTTGCACCAGGGCTGTGCTGYCAAATCCTGGCTTTCATGTGGATTTTGTGTGTGTCTACCAAAGCTCCCTCCCACCCGACCTCAAACACCCCCAGAGCGAGTCAGGCACTCCGGGAACTTTGGGGGATTTAAATCCTCCTGAGTTTAACTGAGTGGGGGACTTCTGAAGGGCARCAGGGGGCTGTCAGGAACAAAGCTGGTTTGTGATGTAAATAGAATTATATTTTTAACATAAACTGTTAATGCTGCAGGGTTTTTTGGTTACACTTTTCCGGTGATTTCCCATTTTACCATAAAACATATATTTATGGTGTATCTTGGTCTTACGTATTATTTGTAAAGCCTTTTTAACAAATAATTTGAATATATATTTTTGCTTTCATATTGAATTACTGAGCACTGTTCCTTTACTGTCTTATTTATCTATTTCTAAAATAAATTTGGTTTGACGATTATATTTGTATACCTTCTGGAGAAGCACTGTTTTTAAACACACCTCTGTTTGCTTAATGCATGCACACCATGGAACCTACACAGAGACTGGGATTTTTCACAGTTTGGGAGCTATGATTATTAAATAACTTCACCACATGTAAACTTTACAAGAAGAAATATCAAGAAATACTCTACTTTCAAACCCTCATACTCTTCAGCAGTACATTTCTTTCTGTCTACATTTTTTTCAAAGAAACCCAAGCAGGAATTCCAAGAGTCACACATTTTCTAAGGGATTTTCCACGCATGTGTGAGTGTTTAGATCTGACTCTCTCTATATTTTGTTTGCGTGTGAATACAAAGAGCACGAGGGTGTGCACACACATTTATCCCACATTCAATTAGCAAAGGTTACAGGCAGTAAATATTGCCCAGGCTGGAGCTGGAGATATGTACCTATTCCAATATCTCTCTCTGTGAAAGATAGCCAGGCACTAAGGAGTTCAATCTKCCACATTATTTGATTTTTGGGAAGATTTGTCTTCCCTTCTGAGAATGTACTGGGTTCTCAATATGTGAGAAAATGACTCTTGGTGATTTGGAGGTCAGGGTACAAATATGAAAAGTACAGTTTTGAGTTTTAGTGCTGGGATTCTTTCACTAGATTATTTTACTTGTTCCAATACTGTGTCTCAGTATTCTGAAATACATTTTTTTCCCACTATATAGACTCATATTCTTAAATTTTGCCACTGAAAATGTAGTGAAAATGACACTTTTGTATTTCCTCCAAATTGTGAGTTTCTGCTTATTTCATAAATAGACACATGTAAATCAGATTCAGTTACTTATATACATAGAGATGGCTATAAAATGTGATATCAGGAATTTTTCAGGGGTCCTATTGACTTCTTGCAGTCTTTTAAATGGGTTTTATTCATTTGTGTTTTCATTTCCAAGGAAGGTGTTCATTCAAGCTCGAATCACTTATTTCCAATAAAACCTGAATGATGGTATCAAAGCTATGGGGTTTGATTCCTCATCACTGAATTCCAGCTGAGAATTATAAGCTGAATTTTGTTCTGTGGTTCTCAGCCATTGTTTCCATCCTTTCTCTCCCGAGAGAACAGTTCCATGGCTGTTGGATGGATGAAGTGTCCCCTGCTCTGTTTCCTTCTGGGCTGGGATCTGAAAGTCTCCAATTATGAGTTTTTCCACACAAAAAAGGTGTGCATCTAAACCATCCATGTGCTGATGTTTTTGTTTTTTTTTTTCTCCGTCTCTTCTGTGAAAAAGGAAACAACAGGGCACAAACTCTGGGCCTTTCCAAAAAAGGAAATGAGCTTCAAACAAATGAATGGAATTTGGAACTTTCCAGATTCAAAGTTGTTGAATTTCCAAATTCAACTTTCCTTTGAATTTTTAGGGTATTTGAGTAATTGGAAATTGTTCAAGGTTTTGTGATTGTCTGACAACTAAACTTGCCAATGTCTGCGAGGACAAGGTCGTGACCATGTGCAGGATTTAGACAAAATTATGATGGAAAGGGATGAGGGAAAAGGAAGATCTTTTCAGTCTGAAATTATTATTGTGGTGCACAATCTTAAGTGCCATGTCAGAGATTTTGAATATGGAGTTTTGGGTCACATTGTGACCTGAGGTAGAGTTTCAATTTTTGTATAGCAATAAGGTGCCTTGTATTGTTGTTGCATTTTGTTTCTTGAAAGACATTAAAATAAATTTAAAAGCAAGTGGTTTTGCTTGCCAATACTCAGTTATTATAACTACCTGAACACATAGGTACAGATAATTAAACACTATGAAACCATAAGTATTTTCTACCTTCTGTTTTCCAAAGTCTCTGTTTTTGGAAGTGTTTAGCACAAAACTGTCTGCAGCCAACACTCCAAGGAATCAAACTGAAGGTGGAAAAGGGCTTTTCTGTTTAAAGAAGTCTATTTGTAAACAAAACTTCAAGAGGGGAGGAAAACATTGGATTATGTTCTCTGGCTTTGCAGAAGGGAAGCGCCAACTTCTCCAGCCTGCTGAGATTTTGATTGCTATTGATTTCAAAGTTAGAAACCCAAACAAGTACAATTTATACAAGGAGTGTTCCTTGCTAAACTCCTGCTAAACTCAGAGCTCGGAGAGAGCTCCAGCTAAGGGCTGCTGCCACTTGTGAAGGTTTGTGGGATTTTGTTGTCAGCAGCAGTGATCAGCACTGCTGTATTCACTGCTCACACTCCATGCTGAGCCACCTTGATCTGTAATATTTGCTACACTTGAGTGGAAACAACGGATTTGCCAACAATCCTACAAGAAAAGGATCTTTTTTCCCCTTCTTCAAATAGCAGTGAGCTTCTCTTTCCAAATACAGATATATAATACTTTCCAGAAGTGTCTCATTAGGCACACTGAACACTTTCTTTTTTAATTCTTATGTTATTGTAGAAGTTTATACATAGCTATGAATACACACACAAAAAGTTAAGGTAATTTTCTAAAATTTTCTTGTTTTCTTTATGAGACACTATTCAAAGGTATTTCCTGCTGTTTGGAAGCATGAGGCTGAATGGATTTTTGAACAGCCTGAAGCAGATTTTTAATCTAACAAAACGACACTGTGACTAATGAAAAACCATGGATAAACAGATTGGTGTTTGCTTACACATGGAGCAATCATCAAACCTACTGATTTTGCAAACAAGAGGCTGGAGGATTTGATGAATGCATTTTCGGAAACTTGGATGGCCAAAGTTGTAAATAAGTCCCTGCTAAATGATCTTTCCTGAGTCAATTCCCTTTCTTCATCAGGTTTATTTTAAGACCATTTCAGTGCATTGTAACTTTGGCCAACTTTTAATTCTTCATCAAATATTGTCTTTTTCTTCTGTGTTGGAAAATAACGCATGTGTGGTCTAACACGGTGAGAGTCTTGTTTTCTTGTCTTTAAAGGATGGTTTAGGGGGTTTTAATTACTATTTTAATATATTGAAACTGTGGTGGGGGTTATGTAAAAATGCAGACATTTGGATTCCTGAACTTGGTATCGTGTCAATTTGACATTTGACAAAAGCACTGTGATAATAACCAAGGTAATGAGTCCCACACGTATAAATCTCCTCAGTGTATTATAACCATTTAGGATATGTTGGTGGGTCACACAGTTTGTCTATTTCTAACATGAGAATTGTTAAAGATTGCAGATCGTGGAATTGTGGAATAATTCAGGTTCTGAGGGATCACATTCTCCAGTGATGTGATTCAAAACTGGGCTTAGATTTAGTTTTCTCTGGACATTGTTCAGTTGACTTCCAATATTTTA